TTATGGAGGAAGTTTTTACTAAGCTTAATAAACAGAATAAATCTGTTGTAATATGTGGAGACTTTAATATCAATCTCCTAGAAGCTTCCTCAATCAATATTAAATTTAGATCATTGTTTGAATCATACGGTCTTTTTAATTTTTTTTTAGAACCAACGCGTAATGCTCAATCTAGTGCAACATGTATAGATAACATTTTTACAAATGTGAAGCCGTTGCATAAATGTATAATTCAAAAATTAAGTTCTGATCACTGTGGACAGGTAGTTTCGTTACCTTATGTTCACAAAAAGCAAGTAAATAAGAAAGTTGTGTTTGTTCCAGTAAATGCACGTCGCTTGGAGAAATTTAGAAGTAACATAGTGAAAAAACTTCCATCACTTTCATACCAAAATGATCCAAATTTTTTGTATTGAACATTATTTAAGCTTATTTGCAATGAATTTAACAATACTTTTACTTCTAAAACATTCTCCTTGAACAGTCGGAAGTCGATTAATGAATGGGCGACAGTAGGAGTCCTTAAGAGCAGACATAGTATATATAGACAGGTTATATTATTTTTACCATGAAAGGTCATATAATCATAGCGTCGAATTTAGGGAATATGTAAAAAAATATTCAATAATATTTAAAAAAGTGTGCTCCAAAGCCAAGTCTTTGCATTTGAGCAACAAAATTAAGACGGCTTCTAATAAAATTAAAATGACATGGAGTATAATTAATAGCGAAACCGGTTAGATCAACTCTCGTAATTCAAACTACCAGTTAAGTGTTAATAACAAATTAACCGAATCAGATCAGGACGTTGCAATGGTTTTTGAGAAATATTTTACTGCTATTCCGATATTAAACACTAAGTCACTGAATTCTTCTCCTGCTGTCTCCGAATCATTACTTAAACAAAATGTAAATGCGTGTACAAAGAATTTTACATTTCATATAGTATCATCAAAAGATATTGTAAAATATTTTAAAACTATTGATGTTAAGAAAACTGCGGGTCTGTGGGGGATTTCCGTTAAAGTTATTGCGTCTATAATATATACAATCGCGCCTCATTTAGCTATTATTTTTAATAGTAGTATCGAGTCTGGTGTGTGTCCTGATTTAATGAAGTATAGTAAAGTAATACCTTTACTTAAATCTGGTAGTACATTAGACCCCGCCAATTTTAGACCTATTTCTCTACTAAAAACACTAAGTATGATTTTTGAAAAAAATATTCTTGATCAAATGTTAAATTTCTTTAATATAAATAATTTACTTCATAAAAATCAATTTGGTTTCACAAGGAGTCGCTCGACAACTGATGCCGGTGTTGAGCTGATTAAATATATATTTAATACATGGGAGAATTCACAGGATGCTTTGGGTATATTTTGTGACCTATCCAAAGCCTTCGATTGTGTTTACGATATGTTTTTATGAAACATTAATCAGGAAACTTCAACACTACGGTGTAAGAAGTGATGTTCTTAAATTAATTATTTCATATTTAAGTAAGAGAACGCAAAAAGTTGTCATTAACAGTATGAGTTCTTCCGGGTCGATGGTACAAATGTGCGTGCCTCAAGGCTTAATTCTCGGCCCCTTTCTGTTTCTTGTATACATTAATGACTTACCTTAGATAGTACGAGATAACCATGATATAGTATTATTTGCAGATGACACTTCTTTAATTTTCAAATTAAGTCGACAATTGCTAAAATATGACGAAGTAAATAATGCTATATCTAAATTAGTAAATTGGTTCAATGTTAATAATTTGCATTTAAATGGCACTAAAACGATATGTATGAGATTTATGACTCAAATGTTAAACAATTAAATACTAATGTAATTTTAAATGGGGAGAAACTGAGTCTTGTAGATACCACCATTTTTCTTGGAATAACACTAGACGCGAAGCTTCAATGGAGCCCCCATATATCAAAACTAGTAAGCAGACTTAGTTCTGCAGCATATGGTGTAAAAAAGATTAGAAGTCTAACTAGTGTTGAAACAGCTAGACTAGTTTACTTCAGCTATTTCCATAGCATAATGTCGTATGGTATTTTGCTATGGGAACTCGCAGCTGACACTGAAATTATATTTGTTTTACAGAAGAGGGCCATAAGAGCAATTTATGATTTAAAGCCTAAAGAATCGCTGCGACAAAACTTTAAGGAAATTAATATATTAACTTTGGCCTCTCAATACATTTATGAAAATGTAATATACGTACACAAAAATAAAAGTAGTTTTACAAAAATTAGTGATATTCATTCTGTAAATGCTAGACACAAGCTAGTAGTACCAGTTACTTGACTCCATCGAGTCAGTAATTCATTCTTGGTGCGATGTATACGCTTTTACAACGAAATTCCAGAAAATATACAAAATTTGACCTGCTCAAAGTTCAAAAACTTTATTAAACTAAGTTTGTATAAAAAGGGTGTTAATGAAGAAACCACATTTGTAATTAAAAAAGTTTTAGTTCTACTTCGATAGATGGCGTTGACATAGAAATAGATTGCGCTATGGTTGCGTTACTCAGTGTGTAATAAGGCCATTTAAATTATTGTATATAATAATAAACCAGCTCAGATCATACATTGTTGTAGTTTGATTTATATATTATCAACTCTTCAAGTGTATCAATAGGACAAACAGTACAACTAGCTTGCTAGTAAACATTGGTCCATCGACCCCGGATATCAGACCCGGAATAGTCTGAATTTTTTGTTAGTTTGCGGTGCCAGCTTTGGGCCGCACCCCGTAGTACTCGCAGTGGATCGCTGCGGCAAGAGTACCGGGCACCTCGCAGAGGCAGCAACAGCTTGGCCCAGCAAGAGGGCCATACTCAGCTGCATTGGGAGTGTTAGTTCAACGTGACGCCACAGAGGGCGCCATCAGCAGTACATCGCCAATTCAATCTTCGAGTTCGTCGATAGCAGCCGGGAGTTGAAGTTCAAAGTGACGCCGAAGGAGGGCGCCACGAGTACACTACTAGTTCAACCTGGGTTTGTGTGAGTGAAGTGCAAACGTGAGTACAATTTAATTAAATACCATAGTAGCAGAGACATTTAATATAACTTGATTGGTGACAAGTACTGTAGACATTATTTGCCAAGCAATTTTAAACTTTATTTCTAAGAAGATTTTAACTTTAAAATTGTGCATGTTAGATTAAGGACTTAGAATAAGTTTTATAAAAACGGAGGAACGGGGAACCTATGTCCGATTTCTACCAGAGTGTATTTATTTATAAACACTTGTAAAATTTTTCGTTGTTTTTGAGACTTAGAAAAAATCGCAAACTTTTGTCTAGTAAAGAAACTTGTAAAGTTATACATTTCAATTGAGGTTGTTCTGTTACCAAGTTAATATTGTGTTAACATTTAGATTGATAAATTTATCTTCACATAAATAATTAAATTATACTTTTTTTTGATATTAATTAATCAATTCTATAACTATCTTTACCATCATTTTGTTTGTTGTTTACGATGGAAGGACAAATTAATATATTAAAAGACCTTCAACAAGTAATTCAAAAAGCCTTTACTAATTTTAAAAAGTGTCCAAAGGATAGACTTACAGTAGAATATATACAAACAAGGCTTGAATTATTAGAAAATGATTGGTCTTCGTTTAAAAATACTAAATCTCAACTTTATGGTCGGTTTAAGTTAGAAGACATAGGTCAAAAGGTTGTCGATATATATGACACAACCGAAGATACTTACATATCATGTAAATGTTTAATGAAATCAACGTTAAATAGTGTAAGAGAACCGCTACCACAAGACAGTGGATGTAGTAATAATTCTTCTAAGCAATCTAATTCATTTGTAAAGTTGCCCAAGATAACAATTCCTACCTTTTCTGGCAAGTACAGTGAATGGACATCTTTTCACGATCTTTTTATTTCACTTGTACACAATAATGCATCTTTAGATAATGTGCAAAAACTGCACTATCTTAAAAGCCACCTCACTGGTGAAGCCGAACAGTTGATTAGGCACACACCAATCACAGATGCCAATTACCGCGAATGTTGGTCTCAGTTAGAAAAGCGTTATGCAAATAAAAAGTATTTAACCAGTTGTATTTTAAAAAGATTGTTCGGCCAGAAACGCTTACATGTGGAATCGGCTAACTCATTAAAGGAGCTGCTAGATACCACGAGCGACTGTTTAAATGCATTGAAAAATTTGAAAATCGATGTAAGTACATGGGACGTTATTGCTATCCATATAGTGACGTTCAAATTAGATAATGAAACACGAAAGCAGTGGGAGTTAAGTGTTTCTAATGACTCCAGCAACGAGTTGCCCACCTTTGAGCAGTTTCGGATATTTATTGAAAGTCGTTTTCGCGCTTTAGAATGTATAGAGCCGAGGAAGGCTGTGGCTCACCAGATCAATAATAGTTCTCACGTTCTTAGTTCGAAAGCAATGCTGGCCACAAAGTCGTCGAATAGTCGTTGCGAATTTTGCTCAGAACTTCACAAGCTCTGTTTTTGTAAGCAATTTGCAAAACAGTCCATAGAAAACAGACGAGAGTTCGTAGCAAAAAATAAAATATGTTTTAATTGTTTAGGCGGAAATCATACAGTTTATGACTGTAAAAAGCAGAATGTCTGTAGAGTTTGCAAAAAGCGCCACCATTCCTTGCTGCACCCTAATAGAGAACCTAACGCTGAGAATAAAGGCCAAGATTCTACAGTAAAGTCCACTATCGACAACGCCAGTTCTTCAAATAGTGACAATCAGATAGTTACATGCTTATCTACGGGCAAAGTCTTAAAACCCAGACAGGTTTTATTAGCCACTGCATTAATAAAGGCAGAGTCCAAGATAGGTGAATTTCAAACAATTCGAGCCCTACTTGATCTAGGATCACAAGCATGTTTTATAACAGAGGCCACTGTCCAATTTCTTAGGCTTAAGAAAATTCCAGTCCGAGGTCACGTTTCAGGTTTAGGAGATAATAAGTCAACCATTGCTAATTATATGGTAAATTTAATTATTAAATCCACTGTTGATCTTGATTTTCAACTTCAAATAAATGCTTACGTCTTGAGTAAGATTACATCATACTTACCTGAGAGAAGTGTGAATACCAGTTCATTGGATTGGATTGATATCAACGGTCTTTGTTTGGCAGATCCTTATTTCAAAACACCTAATAAAATAGACATTCTTTTGGGTGCAGATGCTTACTGTTGCATTATGAAGGAAGGTGTAGTAAAGAGTCCGTCTGGTACTCTAATAGCGCAGAACACCACCTTAGGGTGGATCCTTTCCGGTGTAGTCAGTTCAAGCAATGAGAGTTCAAAACACCACACAAGAAATTTAAGTGTGCACTGTACACAGTTCAATGAAGACAATATTCTAAAGAAATTCTGGGAGATAGAAGAACAAGTGAGTACAAGGAAATTACTTAACCCAGAAGAGCAAAAATGTGAAGAATTTTATATGAAAACTACTAAGAGGGATGATACAGGCAGATACATTGTACGTTTACCATTTCGAGACGAAGATCCTGCATGCAAGGCCGGAAGTTCCCGTGACATAGCTGAAACAAGAGTCAAATCGTTAGAAAAAAGATTAAATAAGGACACATATTTAAAGGAAAAATATACAGAGGTAATTAATGAATACTTACAATTAGGACACATGAGACCTGTAAAGGAAGAGGATAATAAGAAAGATGAAGCAGTTTACTTACCACACCACGCGGTGATTAGAAACGATAAGACCACCACGAAGGTACGTGTAGTTTTCAACGAATCTGAGAAAAATAAAAAAGGAGTTTCACTCAATGACACTTTAATGGTTGGACCAACGCTGCAAGCAGACTTAAGACACACCATTCTTAGATGGAGAGTACACGCTATTGGTATTGTGGCGGATATAATCAAAATGTACCGCCAAGTCAGAATAGCGGATGAAGATGCTGTCTTCCAGAGGATACTTTGGCGAGAAAGCCCTGAAAAGCCACTTAGGGATTATGAGTTGGTAACGGTGACCTTTGGAACAGCTTCTGCACCATATCAGGCAGTTAGGTCACTCCATCAGGTTGCGTACGACGAAGGAGATAAGTACCCGCTTGCAGCAAATAGAGTTTTAAACTCTTTTTATATGGACGATTTAATGATGGGAAGTAATAGCGTCGAAGAGGGCGTTGAAATCTGTAAACAGATGGTAGCATTATTAGGAAAGGGAGGATTCGCATTGCAGAAGTGGAACAGTAACAATCGGCAACTATTAGATAGAATAAGTTCAATATATACAAATGAAGTAGTACAGCAAACAGGTCAAATAAAAATTAAAAATGAGAACACTGAAAATAAGGACAAAGAGGACATAGGAGTTAAAGATAATAAGGAAATAGAAATTAAGCTAGATAGTACAATAAAAATTTTGGGACTTACCTGGAACCGCCACGAAGATTGCTTTCAGTACTCGGTAAATCTTCCACCGCTGACGACAGCACCTGTAACAAAAAGACTAATAATATCAGATATAGCTCGTTTGTTCGACCCATTGGGATGGTTAGCTCCTAGTGTCGTATTAGCAAAGATGTTCATACAAAAATTATGGCTCTTAGGTGTTTGTTGGGATGAGGAATTAACTACCGAAGTAATAACAGAGTGGAGTACTTACCGCGAAGAGTTGTCATTACTAACCAAAGTTCAGGTACCTCGTTGGCTTGGTACTAGTTCATCTGATGACCTTGAATTGCACGGTTTTAGTGACGCCTCTAAAGCAGCGTACTCAGCCGTCGTTTACTTAAGAACAATTGATGTCTCAGGCAAAATTCATCTGTCGTTGTTAGTGGCTAAAACGAGAGTAGCTCCCATCAAACAAATTAGTATTCCTCGATTGGAGCTATGTGGTGCTGTACTTGTATCAAAGTTATTGATAGAGACAGCAGAGATTTTAAATATTTCAAAGGAAAAGATCTTTGCATGGACAGATTCTACAGTAGTGCTATCGTGGCTTAATAGTCACCCTAGCAGGTGGAAAACGTTTGTTGCCAACAGGACTTCAGAAATTTTGGGCGCTTTGAATTCATCTCAATGGTTTCATGTGCCGACCAAAGAGAACCCAGCTGACTGCGCATCAAGAGGAATACTACCCAGTTCATTAGTCGGTAATGAGTTATGGTTTTCAGGACCATCATTTCTGAAAAATAAATTAATTGAGTACAAGAGGCCAAAGAATCTAAAGACAGATTTAGAACAAACTATAAAGGCGCACACAGCTGTAGTTCCAGAGCACGTAGTTTTCGAAAATTATTCCAGTCTAAGAAAATTAGTTAAAGTTATTGCGTATTGTCGAAGAGTTTTAAAAAAGGAAAAACACGATAGTAAATATTTGAAAGATCACGAAATAGAAGCAGCATTACAAACTTGTATAAGGAAATCACAAATAGATTCATTCACAACAGAATATGAACAATTAAAGGAAAAAGGGTATTTGAATATAAAATCAAGTAAATTGAAATCACTTTGTCCTTTTCTCGACAAGAATGGTATCATGCGAATTCGTGGACGACTTGAAAAGTCTGAACTAGATGAGCAAGTAAAACATCCGATAGTTCTACCACATTCATGCCATTTGACTCTTCTTATAGTTGCAGACGCGCATGAGAAGACATTGCATGGTGGTCCTCAGTTAATGGCAAACTATTTAAGGTCAGCCTTTTGGGTAATAGGTGCTAGATCTCTAGTTCAACAATATGTTCGCAAGTGTGTAACTTGTGCGAAACAGAGAGCTAGTGTTAGAAACCAACTGATGGGTGCGCTCCCATCGGTTCGATGTACACCAGCAAGACCATTTTTATATAGCGGAGTGGATTATGCTGGACCCATAAGTATAAGAACCACTAAAGGACGTGGGCATCGTTCTTATAAGGGCTACATATGCCTTTTCGTTTGCATGTCCACTCGTGCTATTCACCTAGAGGTCGTCAGTGACATGAGCACACAGGCATTTTTTGCCGCTTTTCGACGTTTTGTGTCGCGACGAGGTCACTGTGCTAAATTGTGGAGCGGCAACGGCTCCAACTTTGTAGGCGCCTCCAGAGAACTGCAACAGTTGGCATCTATTCAGCCAGCCATAGCAGAATATCTGGAAGCAAACAACACCGAGTGGCATTTTATTCCGCCTCATGCTCCCAATTTCGGTGGTCTTTGGGAAGCGGGTGTAAAATCCACCAAATTTCACCTTAAAAGGGTTATTGGCGACTCTACCCTAACGTACGAGGAAATGACTACATTCCTCAATCAAGTGGAAGCCTGTCTGAATTCGCGGCCGATAAGCGTTATTAACTTTACTGATCCTGGTGAGCCCCTCCCTTTAACTCCTGGACATTTTTTAATAGGAGAACCGATAATTAATGTACCAGATAAAAATTACAAAAGTTCAAACGTAAGCTATTTAACTAGGTGGCAATTTGTGCAAAGGATGCTGCAGTCTTTTTGGAAACGATGGTCACAGGAATATCTGTCAAAGCTCATGAATAGGTACAAATGGGCGTCACAAGTTCCGGAACCTAATGTTGGTGACGTTGTTTTAATTAAAGAAGATGATTTGCCTCCAAGTCGTTGGTTATTGGGTAGAGCTATAGAGAAACACCCCGGTGATGATAACGTTACCCGTGTAGTCACATTGCGTACGAAAACATCCGTAATTAAGAGGCCAACATCAAAATTATGTATTCTGCCTATCTCGGATCCATGAATTGTTCAATTTTTATGTCAAATTTATGTAAAAATATTATTGTATCAAATGTTCTTTTACTTTAACGATCAAATGTAGCTATATGTACAACATTAATTACATTTATAGGTTTAATTTTACAATGTTACTTTTCAAAATTTTATTTTAGGTTATTTTAAGCTGTTGAAGTCTTTATTTTTATTTGTAAGTTTTTAGGTCATACTTTATGAGATTAAATTATAGAAGTGTATAACGTTATAAAGTATTAAGTGCAAATTTTAGATTTAAGTTCAAATTTTAAATTTAAGTGCAAATTTTAGATTTAAGTGCAAATTTTAGACTTAAGTACAATTTAAAAGGCCATTCCGTCACTAAATGTCCTTGGTGGGCGGTATGTTAATGAAGAAACCACATTTGTAATTAAAAAAGTTTTAGTTCTACTTCGATAGATGGCGTTGACATAGAAATAGATTGCGCTATGGTTGCGTTACTCAGTGTGTAATAAGGCCATTTAAATTATTGTATATAATAATAAACCAGCTCAGATCATACATTGTTGTAGTTTGATTTATATATTATCAACTCTTCAAGTGTATCAATAGGACAAACAGTACAACTAGCTTGCTAGTAAAAAAAGGGTTATTATAATATTAAAGAATTTATAGATGATAATAACCCCTGGAAATGAGGTGATCGCTACCAAGATATTTCTAATTTATTGAGTTGTTAATTTGTGATTGTAAGCTGTTAAATTAAAAAAAAGTCCCGCTGGGTTTCTTGCTGGTTCTTTCCCAGGACAGAGGTTTCTTTTCGAACCAGTGGTAATTATACAAAAGAGTGACTTTCAATAAGCTTTATTTTAATCTATATTGAATAAAATAGTTTCTGTTTCTGTTTCTGTTTCTGTTTAAAAGGCATCTTTAGTAGAAAAAAGCTAATACTCAATATTTTTATAAATGTACATCTACATTTATCCCCAGTAAACAATCAAAATGCAAATGCGTTGTCACCCGTGAGGACTAAGATGGAATGCCTCTTTTCCAGTTAAATTAGTCTCTGGTTCTCTAAAATGCCAAAACATAACACAACGAGCTACACAGGTGTTTTAAATTTACTGCAGCAAAAGTATGCAACGATTTGCTCCCCCCTCTGAGAAATAAAATGAGCTCGGGAAACTTTAAACAGCTTTAAACAACTCTTAACACCAACAAGTCTGTTTGTTTGCTTTTTAAGAGTGGTAGGATTCAACCTCATATCCCCCCATTGTATTTGTGTAATTCACAATTGGAGTGGGTAACGACGTTTAAATACCTGGGTCATATTGTTACTCAGGATCTGTGTGATGGTTCCGATATGGACCGCGAGCGTCGTTCCTTTTCAGTGCGTGCCAACATGATAGCTAGACGCTTTCAAAGGTGTTCTTATACCTCAAAGCTGGCGTTGTTTTCAGCTTACTGTCAGCCACTTTACACTCCTCAGCTGTGGACGAATTACACTAAAGAGGAATATCGCAGGCTGAAGGTGCAGTATAATGATTCGTTCCGCGTGTTGTTCCGTCAGCCACGATACTGTAGCGCGTCTCAGATGTTCGCAGAGGCCCGTATCGTTGGTTTGGATGCGTTGATCCGTCACCGTATCGCGCGATTTAGAAGTTTTGTTTTTGGGTCGCAGAATAATCTCATCAAAATTATTTGTAATATGTATGCATGTAGTGAAATTTTTAGTAGATGGTCAAATTTATTAAAATGTAATTAATAAAATGTAATAATATCATTGATTAACCAATAATTATAATTAAATTTAAGGTATAGTTTAAAAAAAAAATTAATTTTGTAATGGATCTGTGTTGTCTGTATCAAATAAATTATTATTATTAACACCAAATATAAATCAGCACTATTGAAGCGGCAAATTGCTGCAGAAAATTTGAAACATATTTTAGTATATTATAACCCATTAAAAAATCATCCCCATGTACTACTAGAATAAGCACACGCATATACACACACGCGCGCGCAAAATCACACACACACACACACACAAACGTACGCGCGCGCGTGCACACACAACATAGACACACACATGCACAGAGAGAGAGGGAGAGAGAGAGAGAGAGAGAGACGCGCACACACATCATACACTTACGTTACACAACCTATCTATAATTTTTAAATATTAGATGGTGATTGGTGAGCTCGCCACTCTCACGACATATATTTAACATCTCAGGGAAGAAGGAGTGCCTGAAAACTAGCAGCATCTTAGCCCCATGTAAGCAATAGCTGAGTCACCTCCGATTGGCTAAGTTTAATTAAGTACTTATTTAGTATGTAAATTTGTTCTACAAATGTAGAATAAAGTGATATTTATTATTTTATTATTAATTTAAATATCCGTCTAGCATACTTAATGAAGTCAAAATTTGCGACCAGAAAAATTAATAATAAGCTCGTTAATAATATCGTTATATATGTATACATACACACACGCGTATACAAACACACACACGCGCGTACAAACACACACACACGCGCGCTCGCGCTAATACATAAAAATCTACACATACACGCTTTCATATATACACGTCCATATCCATTGAATGGATTCAGCAATTCGCCTTATAATGTAACTTTTTATAATCTCTTTTATGATATATTTCCTCTCTGTATTATTTCTTTGTATTGTATGTAACCTATCCGCGAAGGGGGGCTGGTGACCTGTAACCCAGGTTTTTAATATAAAACCTATAATAGGCACCAGTCTCTCACAACGCTAGGTCCTTACTATGTACATCGATATTGTTAACCAGGCAGTAAGTTGTGAAGAGATAAATGAACTGAATTAATATAATATATATATTTATTTACTCTCACAAAATAAGTTTACAAGGTAGGTTATAAAAAAAGTAGACTATGGGCTGAGAGTCTAGTATCTGTACTAGGCGGAAGCCTGTGTTACGGATCACCAGGGTCTCCCCCTCAGGATAATATCATCACAACTTAACATGCTATTTGTATGATTAACAAATGAGAGACAAATGAATTGTAATATGAGTTACTTTAGTGATGTGTGCGTGTGTGTATGTATGATCTATCCAGTATTAGAGTTATGTATATAAAATAAGAAGGTTTTCAGTGGTCTCGTAGTCTAGACTTAACAACCATTGATTTACTTTTAAATTGCAATTATTTCAATTAAGTGGATATATACCAATTCTAGCGTTGGTTTTATTATATAGATAATTACCTAGAAAGGTAAAGAATTTATGTGAAAATTTGGTGTAATGCGTGTTGTAGTTACAGACTAGATCATTTCTGCGCTTATCTTTTATCAATTGTGGATTATACTGTAAGAGTGAGTGTTTTTTAATGATACATTGTAGAATAAAGAGCTGACTCACAGATAGGACTTTCCAACGCTTGTATAAGTCTACAGTAGGGTAAAGAAAGGGAAGTGAGGCGGATACTTTTAGTATAGCTCTCTGTGTGTGCTCTCTTTCCAGTTTTATAATTTTTGTCTTTTCAGAACCACCCCAGGATGTTATACAGTATGCGATAATCGATTGACATAAGGCAAAGTAAACTATTTTGATGACTTTTAAATCAGCTATGTTACTAAGGTTTTTAAAAATGTATATTAACTTTCTTACTCTAGTTGTCAACATGCCTATGTGGCTTTGAAAACTGAGTTTGTTATCAATAATTACTCCAAGATATTTCATATTATCTACTCTCTCAATAGCACTGCAATGACATTGAGTCATTTTCATCTTTGAACATGTATGTACTTTTAATGAATATTGGAAGTTAATGTTATTGGCTGAACGCATTGTAAAAATCATATATTTTGTCTTTTGTATATTTAATGTTAAAGGGTTGTTTATTAGCCAGTCAGATACTTTATTTAAGCCTTCTTGAGCATTTTCATAAACTTCTTGCCACGTATTTGCATGAAAAAGGAGGGCTGTATCGTCAGCAAAACTTAAAATCTTACCTCGTGTAATTGTAATATTTAGGAGATCGTTAATATTTTTTTTTATAGAAGAGGTGGCAAACGAGTTTGCGGCTCATCTGATAGTAAGTGACTACCGCCGCCCATGAACAACTGCAACACCAGGGGAATTGCAGATGCGTTGCCGGCCTTTTAGAAAGGTGTAAGCTCTTTTCTTGAAGGTTCCTAAGTCGTATCGGTCCGGAAAATTCGCTGGTGGTAATTGATTTCACAAGGAAGTTGTGCGAGGGAGAAAACTTCTTCTAAATCGCACAGTGCTGGACCGTCAATCATCCAGATGGTATGGATGGTAACGCAAGTTTTGTCGCGATGTGCGATGGTGAAATTGAGCGGCTGGAATTAGTCCAAACAATTCCTCAGAGCACTCCCCGTGATAGATGCGATAAAATACGCAAAGAGATGCCACATCTCTACGCAGTGCCAGTGTATCGAGCCGATCAGAAAGGACTCGGTCGTCGACGATTCGAACCGCTCTGCGCTGGATGCGGTCAAGTGGAAGGAGCTGGCACTGGGGTGCCCCGGCCCAGAGATGAGAACAGTATTCCATGTGGGGCCGAACTTGCGCTTTGTAAAGTTACAAGCGATGTGCCGGCATGAAATACTGTCTCGCTCTGCTGAGCACGCCAAGCTTTTTAGAGGCCAATTTGGCCTTCCCTTCCAAGTGACCACGAAACTGCACACTATTCGATATGTCGACGCCAAGGATTCCGATAGGCAGCAAGGGGAGTGCCTTGAAACTGAGGAGATACTACAAAGGGGTTCTTTTTAGCGGTAAACGCGCAAACTTGTGTCTTCTGAGGATTATGATATATATATATATATATATATATATATATATATATATATATATATAGATAGATAGATATATGTTAAAAACAGTGTAGGGCCGAGTACACTTCCTTGTGGTACGCCAAATGATGTGGCAAGTGCATCACTAACATGATTATCAACCCTAACTCGCTGCGTTCTATTTGTTAGGTAGTCTTTTATAAGATCTAAAGGTTTACCTC